TATAATAATTTGTTAAATTATTTTGTTATTTATTCAATGGCAAATTTATTGTTTATATACATATAAGTATATATTCTATTGGATGTGGTGATAGCTCAGTGGTAAGGCATGTATTGCTTGTGGCCAAAGGCCCAAGTTCAAATCCCCACTCCATCAATAAATTAGAGAAAGTATATAATAAGTTATTTTGTTATTTATTCAATGACAAATTTATTATATATATATATATATAAGTATATATTATATTGGATGTGGTGTGATAGCCCAGTGGTAGGGCATGTATTGCTTGTGGCCAAAGGCCCAAGTTCAAATCCCCACTCTTTCAATAAATTAGAGAAAGTATATAATAAGTTATTAAATTATTTTGTTATTTATTCAATGGCAAATTTATTGTTTATATACATATAAGTATATATTCTATTGGATGTGGTGTGATAGCTCAGTGGTAGGGCATGTATTGCTTGTGGCCAAAGGCCCTAGTTCAAATCCCCACTCCATCAATAAATTAGAGAAAGTATATAATAAGTTATTTTGTTATTTATTCAATGACAAATTTATTATATATATATATATATATATAAGTATATATTATATTGGATGTGGTGTGATAGCTCAGTGGTAGGGCTTGTATTGCTTGTGGCCAAAGGCCCAAGTTCAAATCCCCACTCCATCAATAAATTAGAGAAAGTATATAATAAGTTATTTTGTTATTTATTCAATGACAAATTTATTATATATATATATATAAGTATATATTATATTGGATGTGGTGTGATAGCCCAGTGGTAGGGCATGTATTGCTTGTGGCCAAAGCCCAAGTTCAAATCCCCACTCCATCAATAAATTAGAGAAAGTATATAATAAGTTATTAAATTATTTTGTTATTTATTCAACGGCAAATTTATTGTTTATATACATATAAATATATATTCTATTGGATGAGGTGTGATAGCCCAGTGGTAGGGCATGTATTTCTTGTGGCCAAAGGCCCAAGTTCAAATCCCCACTCCATCAATAAATTAAAAAAAGAAAGTATATAATAAGTTATTAAATTATTTTGTTATTTATTCAACGGCAAATTTATTGTTTATATACATATACGTATATATTCTATTGGATGTGGTGTGATAGCTCAGTGGTAGGGCATGTATTGCTTGTGGCCAAATGCCCAAGTTCAAATCCCCACTCCATCAATAAATTAGAGAAAGTATATAATAAGTTATTAAATTATTTTGTTATTTATTCAATGACAAATTTATTATATATATATATATATATAAGTATATAATATATTGGATGTGGTGTGATAGCCCAGTGGTAGGGCATGTATTGCTTGTGGCCAAAGGCCCAAGTTCGAATCCCCACTCCATCAATAAATTAGAGAAAGTATATAATAAGTTATTAAATTATTTTGTTATTTATTCAATGACAAATTTATTTTATATATATATAAAAATATATATTCTATTGGATGTGGTGTGATAGCTCAGTGGTAGGGCTTGTATTGTTTGTGGCCAAAGGCCCAAGTTCAAATCCCCACTCCATCAATAAATTAGAGAAAGTATATAATAAGTTATTTTGTTATTTATTCAATGACAAATTTATTATATATATATATATAAGTATATATTATATTGGATGTGGTGTGATAGCCCAGTGGTAGGGCATGTATTGCTTGTGGCCAAAGGCCCAAGTTCAAATCCCCACTCCATCAATAAATTAGAGAAAGTATATAATAAGTTATTAAATTATTTTGTTATTTATTCAACGGCAAATTTATTGTTTATATACATATAAGTATATATTCTATTGGATGTGGTGTGATAGCTCAGTGGTAGGGCATGTATTGCTTGTGGCCAAAGGCCCAAGTTCAAATCCCCACTCCATCAATAAATTAGAGAAAGTATATAATAATTTATTAAATTATTTTGTTATTTATTCAATGGCAAATTTATTGTTTATATACATATAAGTATATATTCTATTGGATGTGGTGTGATAGCTCAGTGGTAGGGCATTTATTGCTTGTGGCCAAAGGCCCAAGTTCAAATCCCCACTCCATCAATAAATTAGAGAAAGTATATAATAAGTTATTTTGTTATTTATTCAATGACAAATTTATTATATATATATATATAAGTATATATTTTATTGGATGTGGTGTGATAGCTCAGTGGTAGGGTTTGTATTGCTTGTGGCCAAAGGCCCAAGTTCAAATCCCCACTCCATCAGCCACAAAAAGATTGGAATGAAAATAATAAAATTCCATATCTGCCTTCTGGAATGAGGGAGTGCACTATATATATATATATATATATATATATAGAAAGAGAGATAGAGAAAATATAACATTGATTGTCAAATTGATACCAAAATCAAAATTATAATTATTAAACTTGCTTTCTAATTTTTTTGTTTTAAAAATATTTAAAGCATAAAAAATTAATAAACATAATTTTATTTTATATTTTAATTTTAAAAATGAGAAGTATGATTTTATTTTTGAAAAAAGTAAAAATAAAAAAATAAAAACGTTAATAAGCAGATCCTAATTTACGTGCTAGACAAGAAAATATAGGAATTATTTAGCCAATGATTATTATTATTTTTTTTTGGTGGGACCTACTGTCCTATTTGGGACTAGAAAAAGCTACTCATATAATTGAACTTTTATTGTGCCCCTCCAATCACAGAACAGAGGAGTGGCTGTTTTTGTTTTTATTTTTTTTTTGTCATTGGCAGGAGACTTATACACACCATTCACGCTAAGGGTGGTTACAGATTGGTCCGATTTGCTCCAAACAAATTAGAAAATTTTGAATTCGCCACCAATTCGTTATCTCACGGATCGAATCCGTTGAATGATGGATCAGATCGGACTAAATCCGCGAATTAAAATTTTTCCTAAATATTTCATATTATTTATTTTTTAACCATAATCCAATAGATAAAATTTTAATTTATCACCATTAATTCATATATTTAAATGATCAATAACTAATTAAATTAACTAATATATTATTTTAATATATATATCCGCACAGATCGGATCGAATCGAACTCACGGATTATTTGTCAACTCCTAACTCACACACCCATTTCGCTTCTTTGAAGATTCGAACCCTCACCATCAGTGACGGACCCAGAAAATTTTGTGAGAGGAGCGGTCTTTTAATTTGTGGGGGGCAAATTTATATAGTGGATCCATTTTTGTAATTTCAATGGAGTTTTTTTAGAAAATTTAAAGTAAAATGCAAAAAAAAAAAAAAAAAAAAAAAAAAAAAAAAAAAAAAAAATCAGTGGTGTCAAATTGTAATATTAGTGAGCATCTTCAAAAATTCTCAAAAATTTGAAGTATAAAATGCAAAAAAAAATAATTCAGTGGGGGCAAATTATAATTTTAGTGGGGGCATGTTCAAATATTCTAAAAAATTTAAGGTATAAAATAAAAATATAAAAATTCCAATGGGGACATCCACCCCCACGGGTCCTATGCTAGGTCCGTGTCTGCTCACTATCCACTTTGAGAGATAGAAGAGATACCACTTGCCATAAGGCCCTTGGTCAAAGGATCTTAACTTGTGGTTAGAGAAAATAAAATATATTTAATTATATAACGTTTCGGAATAGTGAATACTTTAAAATTGAAATTAAAGGAAGTGATTATTGATAAATGAAATAAATTTAATTATATTGTGTTAGGGAGCATTAAACTAATTCTTTAAAATAAGAATTTAAAAAATATATATATTAATTGAGGCTTACAAATATAAATTTATTAAATTTTATTTAATCACATTTGGAATAAATCATACATTCAGTGAAATTTTCGGTCTTTTTTTTGGACTTGTCAAAAATGATAATTTATTTAACAAAAATAACATTTTTTGGGATATCGTAAAACAGATAATCAACAAAGATACTTTTTTTTAGTGTCTTTTTTTAAATTTATTTATTTATTTATTTTTTATTTATTTTTTTTTGAAAGGAGGAGATCAACCATATGTAGAAGGTAGTTGTGTAATTTAAAAAAATAAAATAACTATTTTGAAAATGTTACAAAATGTTACTCATGATCGTGAAAGTTTGTACAAAAATGATTCAGAAACTGGGAATTTAGGAATGGATATAGTCGCACATTTGCGCCTATATCAAAATAGTCAAAGGTCCAGTAATAGAGAGGTAGACTTGAAAGTTGAAACCCTTGGCACTACAAAATTTCCACCTTGTCTAAAACTGTGGACAAGTTTTATGTATAGCACCCTAAAGTCAAATGAAATGAAGGGAAAGCAACAAAGAATTCAGGAGTAAAAGTGCGAAAACGTTAAAATTAAGTCATAAATAATAAAAATAGAAATGAGAGTTGCTTGGAGCGTAAGAGTGACACCGATTGAAATGAATTGTGTAACTTATATTTATACCGAAAGCAAGAACGAATTCGAAAATAGGAGTGCAAAAATGATAAAATTAAGTCACAAATAGTGAGAATAGAGACGAATGTTGCGCGGAGTGTATAAGTGACACCGGTTAAGAAGGATGGTGTAACTTAGATTTACACCCAACTTTTATAAAATGATATCAATTATTACCACTAATATATATATATATATATATATAATGTTTTAGCACATATGCATTCGTATATAAATAGTGTATTTATAAAATTATATGAACTGTGGTACTCGAGCTGAGGAAATACACTTCCTCAGCTGAAAATCAAATTTATATCCAATAGGATTCCACAATTATCATGTCCCAAACAAAACACACAGGTGGTGTTTGATAAATTTAAAAATTAAAGTATCTTAAACTTTTAAGTGGTAATTATAAATTGAGATATAATTTTTTTTTTTTTTCCCTGTGCCAAGAAAATCACACCCATGTGTTCTTTTTGGAACTTGAATTTCTGACTTTTTATTTTAAAATGTGAGAATTACAGCCTATGTAGTTACATGTATACGCGATCTATTAGTAGCGTATGGTATTATTGCAACCAGAGGTACATTAGAAATAGATTATTATTACCATCCAACACAATTTTCGTTTTAGACATACATATACATATCATCAAGTTTGGAATAATAAATAACCTTAAAAAGCAATTAATGATCCGACATGAGTTTGTGATGGAATTAAATTAATATTCCTTATATATCTGAGCTAACTCAATAATGAAGTTCCCTTCCTTGTATGTTTGGCTTGCATTATAAGCTCGCACGTATTTCCAACCCAACAACTCGCCACAACTGCTGCAATACACATCCGCAACACTAAAAACACCAGTTATGAGTTGTCTGTCCTCTTTCTGCCCCACTACAATGTTCATCGCATGAGAGAACATGTAGGCTTGCCCGGATTTTGCCTATAATTAACAAAAACAAGACACATTTTGATATCTGTATATATATATATATATATGAAAATTTGTAGTCCGAGAGATGCTCACATCATAATTCGCCATATCGGTCGATACGCGACATATCACTCAATTCGTAACTCTTTTTCAAGGATTCGATACTATTACATATCTGCATAAACTGGTCGGTTTATACCACGACTACGAACCATGACTCACATAGAGGTAAGTGATAGTCTCTTTAATCTCCCAAAATGAAAGATCCAAATTCAACTTTCAAAATGTATGTTACACTACAAAATGGGGATAACGTACGAGAAAAACTTAATTGCACCATAATAGTACAAATGCCCTTACATGTAGTGTATGAACAGTTGAATGCTCCTGTTGCAACTGGCACAATAAAATTTTGTCGTATTATACAATATTTTCTAGTTTATGGTGTTTTCTCTAGGTAACTTTGTCCTAATAGTTTTTAGTCTCAAAACAAAAACTATTCAGAAACCAAATCGGTTTGCGCTGAGTAGAGAAAAGCCCTACATGGAGTCCACCATGTTGTCTCTATTTGGCTTTAGTCAATTTCGGCCTAGAAAGCACACACTGAAACCTGAAAACTGCCCAGGAGGAAAGAGCAAGGCTACGTTTAGTAACGAGAAATGTTTCTTATTTTCTTTTGTCAACCCCTAAAAAGACAAAACGAAAATAAAAATCTCGTTCAATAATATGTTTTTGTTTTTCTATAACAGAAAACGTTTTCAATTTTTGTGAAGAATAGAGAATCATAAAAAAGATGTTTCTTATATTTTTGGCACTGTAACACAAACTTTTGTACTATTATTACTACACAGACAATATTCATTTTAATAAAATTCATATTATTTGTGTTATATATTAAGTTGCATATTAAATGTTAATAAAAATATATTTTTTTAATATAGAATATATTAAATATTGTACATTATTTTTTATTTGATAAAAATATATTTTAAAATATAATATATTAAATAATAACGTAAATTATTTTTTGTGACAAAATAATTTTTGATATAAAATATAATGTTATTAAATTATTATGTAGTAGATATTTTATATTATTATATACTATATCTATATTATATTATATGTAAATATTAAATTATAATTAATTTACAATATTATAACACAGTATATATTTTATTACATATAAGATCGATATATTATTTAATAGTTTTTATTCATAATAAATTATCATATGCTAAATATTTTATATATCACATAATAAATGTATACATCATGCATATAAATGTATTTATATACATAATTGGTAGAAGTATTTTTGTCTTAGTATATCTAATTTTGTACTTATGATGTATTGGGTATTATTAAGATTTGTAATTTTAAATTGGATTTTATAGATTTATGGCTTTTTAATACTAATGGAAGCAAGCACCGTGCCTGAGTGGTTGGGTTGCTCCATGTGTCCGAGAGTCTGTGTTCAAGTCATCTCTCCTCACCCTCCCCTCTAATCACTAACTCCTAAAATTCTTGCCATGAAAAAAATATATATATACAAAAACGAATAAACTAAAAAATTAAAATAAAATAATTAAAGAATATTATGTACATTTTGTAACAAATATGCATTACTAAACACTTTTATTGTTTTATGTGTTGGAGTTGCTCTGCACAATCAACCGGATTTGATACCACTTGTTGTGGCGAAAACGCAAAATAAACAACACTGTTTAAGGAATAAACAAGTAATCACGAAGAATAAAAAAAAATCACACACAAGAACACAAGATATACATGGTTCACCCAAATCTTAGGGCTACATCTATGGAGCACACCGAACAAATTCACTATGAAAAAGATGAAGAACTACAATGGAGAATTTTCTTTCAATCTCTCTCAATTGTTCTCTCTTGTATTGGCACAAATTTATCTCTAACTCTCACCCTCTAAAATCTTATTAGAGTTGATATTTATAGAGTCCAAAATTTGTCCTACAAGAACTTACCTTTTGTAGAATTCAAAACCAATAAGGAAGTTAAATCAGATCAAGAAACTGAATTTTCCTTAAACCAATAAAGAAGTTAAATCAGATCAGGAAACTGAATTTTCCTTAAACCAATAAGGAAGTAAAAACAAATCAGGAAACTGAATTTTTCATAAAATTCAGTAGTGTTGGAGTTTCCATATAATTAAACATTCTTAAAAATTAATCAAACTCCACAAAACCATAACAATCTCCCACTTGGAGGCTGGAGCACTTGTAAACCAATTACATATTCTTCTCATGCATGTCCCATACAGGTCGATACGCTTCTTTCTGTCTTAAAGCTAGAAAACCAATTGAATCTGCGCACAGCTTCAGTTTTTCCATGGTCACTGTCTTGGTCAACATGTCAGCCGGATTCTTAGTGCCAAGTATTTTCTCAAGTGTCAACACCCCATCTTCTAACAAAGATCTGATAAAGTGATACTGAAGTCCTATATACTTAGTCCTTGAATGAAATGTTGAATTCTTTGCCAGATGTATTGCACTCTGACTATCACTGTGCAAAACATTATTCACCTGCTCGAATCCCAACTCTGTCAACAAACCTTGTAACCAAATCATCTCCTTACTGGCCTCTGTCATCGCCACATACTCTGCCTCTGTAGTAGATAACCCTATAATCCTCTGTATTTGCGAAACTCAACTAACTGCAGTTGTACCCACCATGAACACATACCCAGTAGTACTTCTTCTGTGGTCCACCTCACCAGCAAAGTCTAAATTTACATAACCATGTAGCTTCACCTCACCCCTTCTGAAACATAGGCATCTGTCTGTGGTACCCCATAGATATCTCAATATCTACTTTACTGCTTCCTAGTGTAGCTTGCCCAGATCCTTCATGAACCTGCTTACTGCTCTCACTGCATATGCAATGTCTGGCCTTGTGCACACCATGGCATACATCAAACTTCCAATGGCTGAGGCATATGGAATTTTAACTATGAAGTTTTTCTCATCTTCTGTCTTTGGACACTGATCTTGAGATAATCGAAAGTGATTAGCTAAGGGAATACTCACCGCCTTAGCATTATTCATGTTAAACTTCTTCAGAACCCGTTCAACGTACTCAGCCTGAGACAACTGCAAAGTACCTTTCTGTTTGTCTCTGCTAATCCTCATCCCAAGAATCTGATTCGCTGCACTAAGATCCTTCATCTCGAATTCATTAGATAACTGCTTCTTCAATTTCCTGATTTCTTCAAAATTAGAACCTTCCACTAACATGTCATCAACATATAGTAGAAGGATAATGAAACTTGACTTAAACATCTTGAAGTAACAGCAATGGACAGCGTTGCACTTGTTGTAGCCATGTCGCTTCATAAAATCATCAAACTTCTTGTACCACTGCCTTAGGGCTTGCTTCAAACCATATAAGATTTTCTTCAACTTGCACACTAGTTTCTCTTTCCCTTTGACTGAGAAACCATCCGGCTGTTGCATGTAAATCTCCTCATATAGGTCACCATGGAGAAAAGCAGTTTTAACATCTAACTGCTCAAGGTACAACCCCTCTGCTGCAACAATGCTAAGAACTAAGTGAATGGTGCTCAGTTTCACAACCGGAGAAAAAATGTCTGTGTAGTCAATGCCTTGCTTTTGCTGAAAGCCTTTAACCACCATTCTCGCCTTGTATCTCTTGGAATCATCATGTTCCTCTTTCACCCTGTACACCCAGTTGTTGTGAAGAGCTTTCTTTCCCATGGGCAACTTGGCTAGTTCCCATGTTTTGTTGGAGATAAGGGACTTCATCTCATCTTCTATTGCAAACTCCCATTTGCTAGCATCTTCAACCTGACATGCTTCATCATAACATTCAGGCTCACCATCATCTGTGAGTAACATATAATCCAAATATTTCTTATTCGGTACATGAGGTCGCGTAGACCTTTTGGGTGCAGGCATAGGAGTTAGAATCTGCGATGAACTATGCTATGTGGGTTCTGGCAAAGAACCCTCATCTGTCTGCTCCGCGTCAATGCTCTCTGAATCATCATCTAACTCAACAAACTCAGGCTTACACTGTACAAGACTAGTTAACTGCGCTGCATCTTTATCCTTGTACATCACCTTCTCATTAAAAATCACATATATACTTCTGATGATTTTCTTGTTCTGATTATCCAAAAATCGATAACCAAACTCATCTCCGCCATACCCAATGAAGATGCATTTTAGTGACTTGGGGTCGAACTTTACCCTAGCATGATCACTATTATGCGCATATGCAATACAACCAAAAACTTTCAACCATGAAAGATTTACCTCTTTGCCACTCCATACCTCTTCTGATATTCGATACTCCAAAGGCACCAATGATCCACGATTAATTAGGTAGGATGCTGTATTGATCGTTTCTCCCCAAAACTGCTTAGGTAGACCCGAATGTATGTGCATGCTTCTGGCTCTCTCTGTTAATGTTTTGTTTATCCGCTATGCCACTCCATTCTGCTGTGGGGTTCCTTGCACAATTCTCTCTAATTTAATCCCATTATCAAAACAGAACTTCTTGAACCCAGTGTCTTCATACTCACCACCATTGTCTGACCTCAACCTCTTGATCTTCAAACCTGTCTCATTCTCCACCATATCCTTCCACTTCTTGAACACATCAAATACCTCAGATTTGTGCTTCAAAAAATAAACCCATACCTTTCTCATGTGATCATCAATGAAAGTCACAAAGTAGGATTTTCCGCGAATGGATGAAACAGTGGCTGCCCCCAGACATCTGTGTGAACTAGCTCAAGTTTCTCCTTTCTGAGATCTCTGCCACTCTTCTTGAAACTGACCCTCTTCTACTTTCCCATCACGCAACTCTCACAGAAATCATCAATCGCCCATATGCCTGGTAGTTTCCCTTTAAGTGCATAATCTTGAGCCCCCTTTCACTCATGTGACCTAGTCTCTGGTGACAAAGGTTGTGATCTTCTCTGCTTTCTGCAACTACTATAGACCCACAAGCACTTGTAGTTGTGTAAAGAGTGCCTGATTTCTTACCACGTGCAATGATCATAGCACCTCTGGAAACTTTCCATAAGTCTCCATTGAAGGTTGTAACAAAACTTCCTCTAATAATTGTCCCATCGAAATCAGATTCTTCCTTAAGTCAGGGATGTGTCTCACATCCTTCAACTTCCAAGCTGACCCATTCAACTTGATTTGCACTTCACCATTGCCAATGACACTGCAAGGCTGATCATCACCAAGATATACCTTGTCAAGGTTACCCGGTTCATAGCTATTAAATAGCTCTTTGCTTGAGGTGCCATGAAACAATGCGCCGGAATCTAAAACCCATGACTCCACCTTACTCTCCAAAGAGCATATCAATGCATCATTTGATACTTCCGAGACAACGTTTGCTTCAGTTTTTCTTTCGGTTCCCTTCTTTGGAATTCAGCAATCAATACGGTAATGTCCCTTCTTTACACAATTCCAACACTCAACATCACTGAGATCTGTGGAATTCCTGAAATTTTGAGATTATGTCCTTCCATTCCTTGACTTGGATCTATCTCTGTTTCTATTACCGTTACCCTTCTTCTTGTTTGAACTATTGCCTCTACTTTCAACATTCAATGCCGAACCACTGGTGGAAATCCCTGCTGTTTGCCTTCTGATTTCTTCAGTCAGAATCATGCTCACAACTTCATCAAACTTCAACTTGGTCTTCCCTGCAGAGCTACTGATCGCTGTAACTATGCCACTCCAACTCTCGGGTAACTATCCTAGAATTAGCAGTGCTCGGACCTCTTCTTTGAAGTCGATATCAACAGACTCTAATTGCCCAACTATCTCGTTGAACGCATTTAGATTATCATTGAACTTACCACCTTCGACCATCTTCATGTTGAACAACTTCTTGATCAAGTGCACCTTGTTCGCTGCAGAAGGCTGTTCATACATACTAGAAAGGGCTGCCATGAAAGACATCGTCGTCTTCTCATTCTTGATGTTGAAGGCGACTGACTTTGACAACGTCAATCTGACGATGCCAAAAGCCTTCCTATCAAGTAATTCCCAATCTGCATCCTTTGTATCCTTTGGCTTCTCTCCCAAAGGTTGATACAGATTTTTCTGAAACAAGGGGTCTGCTATTTGCATCTTCCAGAAACCGAAACTTGTGCCATCGAACTTCTCGATCATGGATGTGGAAGTCTTATCTTCTGATGCCATTACTCTTACTTGAATGGACAAATCTGATCGAAAGACTTTCGGAATTTCGTCAAACACCTTCTGTACCCTAGGTTCTCAACCAAAGGCTCTGATACTAGTTGTTGGAGTTGCTCTGCACGATCAACCGGATTTGATACTAGTTGTTGTGGCAGAAACGCAAAATAAACAACACTGTTCAAGGAATAAATAAGTAATCACGAAGAATAAAAAAAATCACACACAAGAACACAAGATATACATGATTCACCCAAATCTTAGGGCTACGTTCATGAAGCACACCGAATAAATTCACTATGAAAAAGATGAAAAATTACAATGAAGAATATTCTCTCAATATCTCTCAATTTTTCTCTCTTATATTGGCACAAATTTATCTCTAACTCTCACTCTCTAAAATCTTATTATAGTTGATATTTATAGAGTCTCAAACTTGTCCTACAAAAACTTACCTTTTGTAAAATCCAAAACCAATAAGGAAGTTAAATCAGATCAGGAAACTGAATTTTCTTTAAAATTCAGCAGTATTGGAGTTTCCATATAATTAAACATTCTTAAAAATTAATCAGATCCCACAAAACCATAACATTATGTTAGAGTAATGATAGTCTGTCTGATCAAATTGGCCTACTACTAGTCTGAATCCTAAACCTAAATCCTTGATATTTTATTGGAAAATGATTTATGCACCGAATAGTTGCGGTGAATTGTTAGACCTATTATTTTAATTGATCAATTATGCAACAAATAAGGAAGTGAAACCCTTTAATTAGTTGTATTTGGTATAAATTGCTAATTAAAATTTATTCAATTAGACAATTTACTGCAACTGTTCGGTGTGAGTATCACTACTCTATTTTATTTGCTCACTAAAGATACCAAAAATAAATATGAAAAGAAACTGGTTTTGACGTTTTTAATTGACTATTTATACCACATACAACTAAATCTATTCCCCTCGTATGAATTTCTAGATCCGTTCCAGATTACGCATAACATATGTATATATATTACATATAATATAGCAAATTAAAGAAACAAAAACGTTTCAAAAAAAATTTAAAGAAACAAAATATATTCAAAAACATTTTCTGTCATCCATTATTAACTCATACATGTGGAACCAAGCATACAATTCTTCTCAAAAAAGAAAGAAAAAACAGTACAAAGATGTCAAAGTCAGCTTCTTGGCCCGCCTGTAATTGCCGATTTACATCCTTATGTCATTCTGATATGGATATATATATATATATATATATAGAAGAATCCAGTCAAAGGAAGCTACATTACATTATAGATGCGTCCGTGAGAATAAAAGATAAGGCCATTGCTTTGATTTGAAATTTGAATAGGAGCGTTTTCAAGTGAATTAGGGCAATGAATAAGAAAAGCAGCGGAAGGAAGAAAATGAAGTAAAAAATCATGGAAGCAGCAAAACGAAAAAAAATGAATCGAGAAATCAGAGGGGTAGAGAGGAAGAAATTGAATTAGTGCATCAAATGTCAAATGGTTCAAATCATTTAATAATTTTTGACAGGGTAGTCAAAACCTCTTTTTTTTTTTCATATTTATTTTTGATATTTTTAACGCGCAAATAATATATTAACTATTTAGGTAATTACGTGATAGTTATATATAGAATTTGGACTAAAAATAGGCCAATTAGATCGAATAAAGTATCACTACTCTTTATGTTATCAAATTTGTGATAACATCAAGTGTTAAATAAATATTTTTTTATTTTTAGACAATAAAGTAAAATCATATTTCAACTTTATTAGGACTGCAAAAACAAAAAACCAATTTTTTACTAAAGCACCCCAATTCAGTGACCTTGACTTCACAAGGCAGAGTCTTGCAACTCAATTCATTGACATATGATTTATAACATGAACTAATTATATTTGACTCAACAAACCCCAAGCTTCAAAGAGTGGATCAGGCTATCAGATCGATCATACATATATATACATATATATATACACACACACACACACATAGAGAGAGAGGATCAGAAATATATAATCACCAGAAATTTTTTAGAAAGAAGGTCATCGCGGAGGGCAACCGGATTCCGGCAATTGCTGCAGCTATAAGTTGAAAGACCGGTGAATTTCGCCATGAACTGAAAGTTTGGTACCAAAAAATGCAAATTTCTGGTTAATTAAGAATGTTGAGTTATGATCAATATCCAAGGAATCAACGTTTGAGGAAGAATTAACATACATATATATATATATATATAGAAATTGTAAGAAGTTCATTAAACTCATCACCTGTGATTGTGAATGATGATCCAATTAAGTTCCTGATCCAAAAGCTAAGAAACAGTAGGATAATATGAGAATTGTTTTAGTTTAGGCAATGTTTCTTATAAAGACAAGGACGACAAAGTCTTTTGGTGGGACCTACTGCTTGTTTGGCACCTACAAAGCTACTCTCCCACAATTCAACTCTTATTATGTCAGTCCAATCGTGGTTACTGCCTCGTCCCATAATAGTTGTGCAATTCAAAAAATTTAAATCATTGCCATTCTTTATTTTTTAGTCATTTAAAATTATTTTTAGTCATATTTATTTTTTATATTTGTATACAACTTATAACTCATATTAGATATCTATTTGGATAACTTTGAATCACAAAAATTGTAAGTTAAAATTTTTGATAGAAATAACTAATATGAGACGGAAGGAGTATTAAAATTTAGTCAGGTGGTTATTATAAAAGTAAATAAAATATTTAAGGGTAATGTACAATAAATCCGTCGATTATTCGAGTTTTGTAGATTAATTTTTTGTCAAAAAAATCATCTCCAACTATTTAAGAGGTAACATAGTCGATGAGAGAGTTGATGGAAAATATTTTTGAGACAAATATACCCTTAGGGCAAATTGTATAAAACCCCCTCTACTTTTAATTTTTGGCAATAAACCTCCACAAAGAAAAATAGTTTACATAAAACCATTTAACCATCCAATTTGTTGTAGAGTGATGTTATAATGAATAAAGTGTTCCTTAATATAAATTTAATAAAATGATGCTCCTTAATATTAAATTAAAATTAATACAAACTCATTTGGCATAGTGCTGTTATAAAAATTTTGATTTTTTTTTTAATGGTGAGCCTATAATAAAATGAAAATACCTTAAAACAATTTTCAAAATTTTCTTAATTTTTTATTTTTAAAACTAAAAAAGAAAAGAAATATTAAATGAAAATAAAAAATTTGAAAATTGTTTCAAGGTATTTTCATTTTTAGGCATAGAAAAGAAAAGCTAAATAAAGGTATTTTCTTTTTTCTTTAAAAAAAAATTAAGAAAATTTTGAAGATTGTTTCGATGTTCTTTCATTTTTAAAAAATAGAAAAAGAAAATAAAAGATAAATAAAGTTTTTTTTTTTTTTTTTTGAAAGTAAAAAATTAAGAAAAATTTGAAAATTGTTTCAATGTATTTTCATTTTCTTATAGACTCACCATTTTAAAAATATTAAAATTTTGTAACAAAACTATGCAAAACGAGTTTGTATTAATTTTAATTTAATATTAAGAAGCACCATTTTATTAAATGGGTAAAGTACATTGACACCATTTGAGGTTTGGCATAGGGACAACCAAATACAAGTTGGTCTATTTTTTGACAATGATACCCCCTCAAGTTTGATAAAGACACCCTAACAATGGTGAATTAACTTTATTACCCTTTGATATAAAATTGACAAATACAATTGACTTAAATATAATTGAATCAAATAGGTTTAAATGGGTTACTAGGTACAACCGATCTGAGAAACCCAAATTTTCTCTCTCCTCACTCTTTTCTTCTCTTTCCCTTCTCAACCTTAACCCAAACAAGCATAATAGAGTGAAAGGAAAAATCAATTAGAAGGAAAAAACCGATGATAATAAAGTTTTTCCTCCCTCTCTCTTTCTCTCTTTATATATATATATATATATATATATATATATATATATATATATATATATATATATATATCACCACCACAAATCAGCCCTGTTGCATGTACCGTCGCCACCACCGCTGCATCATCATCATCATCAATTCATCATCGTCATCAAATGAACTACGGTGATGAGTAAAGGAGACGGAACTGCCAAAAATGGACCGGTAAAAAGAGACCCAATTCGGTGAGCTTACCCAACGCCGGAGTACACAAGTTCTATAAAAGTACCACGCGTTGGGGTTAACGGCAGTGGTGAGTGCTCTCGTGGCTTGGTTCATTCTCTCTATCTTCGGCAATTACGTCAATGGAGCCCGATCTTGATCTAATCCATGATGGCGATCGAAATTGGAGCTCGATCTTGATCTAACCCACGACGATGGCAATGTAAGACTATGGCTTTAAGACAACAACGGCTGCTTCACGACAATGAGGGAGCCGTAACAGAGCCCCGAAGTGAGCGAAGCAGCGATTGCCACTGAAAATGACTCTGGGGACACCAATGGGGTCGAATGGGCTTGCGGTGGTAGGTAATCGAGAGATTCGGATCGAGTAGTTGTATTCCTCTGACTTTGGTCTCCACCGCGGAGGTGGTGGTGGAGCATAGTAATCCGATTCGCCTCCTACATGGGAGCTATGGTAACATGGGTGGGTTCCTTTTGGGCGTAATAAGAAGGTGGAAATGGTGGTGGCTCGTTTTGGGCACAATAAGAAGGTGGAGGTGATGGTGGGTTCTAGAAGTCAGGCAGTGGTTGTGACGACCCTGGTTTTTAGGCTAGCGTGTCCTGTGATGAACCGAAGATTTGACCCAATAACGGATCCGATATGCGGAAGTGAAAACAGAAAACAAGACTCTAAGAAGTCAAAGTGACCTTCCATGAGGTCATGGAACTCAATGAGAACTGATGCGGAAGCAAAAGGTCAAAATATGACAAATAAGCCTCTAGGGGCAAAATAGTCATTTTTAAAAAATGTGGATTCGGGTGCCACCGAGTACACCGCTGGAAGGACAACGAAAAACTAATCAAGATAGACTCAAGAATCGCATGATTCGGAGTCCGGACGAAGGAGAAACGGCATGACGACAAAAAACGGACACTTAAAGCTTTAAAGGCAAACTGGTAATTATCCAGGAAGAACCGGGTGCAACCGAGCACACCGTTGGAAAGACAGCGAAAAATTGGTCAAGTTAAAAAAAAAAATTCACTTTAATCGAAATCCAGACGAAGGAGAAAAGCCCAAAAGAAGAATTGACGTCGCGGCGGCCCGACGAGGGCCATGGCGCCCATACGCGAGCCCACCGGCGCCCAAAGACATGGCTAATGGCAGCCCTTGGCTGCTGCTACATTTTTTTTTTGATCTGCCTAGAACTGAGGCTTGAAACGGAGGTCAAGACGAATTTTTCTAGAAAAACATGAAGAAGAAACCCTCCCTAAAATCAAGTTTTCTACCCGACTTCATGAACGGAATCGAAAAAAACTCACTGTGAAATCCCCAAAATGCCCCTAGATCAGATTGAACAAGAAGGTCATAAAGCTGCAAAATGAAAACTGGAAGCTGAAACTTCACAAGGGATTTTCGTTACTAAGACGACATTTTCTGAAAAAACACGAAGAAGAAACCCCCCCTAAAATCATGTTTTCTATTCAACCATGTCAAAAGAAGAAAATAAAACTGATGTGAAAGGTCCATAATGCCCCTAGATCAGAATATGCAAAAAAAATGCGAAATGAATTCACAAGATGCTCAAAACACAAACGATAAGGTTTTGCCCGGAAACGACCATGCACGCAAACGTAACTTACCTATTTGGACGTGCTACAATGGTCCATGACTTAAAAATACCACCAATACAAAATCCGACCCCCCAACGGGCAAAAAGGCAAAAATGGAACTTGGAATGAAAACTCGGAATCCAAAAATACAAAATGGGATCAAATGACCATTTGGCCCTTGGCCACACTTCAAACATGATTTATGAGACCCTATAAAAGAATGAGAATGGAATTCCCACACCTGATGCAACCATGGTGAAGTAATGACTTGCGATTTTTCAAGATTTTCACAATATTTCATGAAGTTAAAAAGTACATAAAATACAATATAATGTTCATTGGCCTCCGGTCTCATCTCATACATATCAAATACATTGAAAGAAGTGTACTTAAGTACACATTACATACATGGAATCAAATATACATATTTTGACATATAAGTCTACAAAATGACATTTAATGCTAACATTCGCATGAAATGGAAACTTGAAAGCTACACGACATCCAAGGAATGCTAGGCGTCACGAACCAAGTCTTCGTACCTGAAATATACCCCAGTATCGTAAGGGTGAGTAACATAAAACTAGTCGTAGGAGATGAGCATGCATCGCCCTAGCATTTTACAAATTTATCACCTTAAGGTGAAACATGTTAAAGGGGTTCATGCCACCTAACGTCTATATCGAAATGAGACTCAAGGAGCATCCTAAGCTACCTTAGAGTGTTTCTAGCATAAATCACATCATCTTTGCCATTTAAACAATATGGAAGCACGTTATACAAAGCAACAAGATATAGGTTCTTAAAGGTATTAACTTGCAATCTCGAATATAGAAACAACTAAAGTGATCATGTCACCTAACGTCTATGTTCTAAATAAGTCTAAGGAATCATCCTAGGCCATGCTGAACAATCATAACGCAATTTACAACTTCAATGCAATCTAACCACATAAAAGCATATTATACAAGGCAACAAAATACAATTTCCTAAAGCTATCAGCTTGAAATCTAAAGCACGAAAACAACAGAAGTGGGTCATGCCACCTAACGTCTAAGTTATAAATGAATCAATATGATCAATCCTAAGCTTTGTTAGAACGTCAAAACACAATTTTCAATATCGATGCAATTTAACCAACATTGGAACTTCCAATACAACGCATAAAACACAATTTCGTAAAGTTAACATCATGTAACTTAAAATGGAACGACAAATAAGAAACAAAAAGTTACAACATCATCTAGTTATCAACTTGAAAATGAAATGCGAAATCAAACAAAGTGGATACTCGGACGTCACGCCGGATCAGACCGACAACATAATTACTTTAGGATTACTAGCCCATGGGTAACCTCCCTATGTGCGCACTAGACCATATAGAGGGACTATCCCCCGTACTATAACCACGTCCTAGCCATAATCAAACAACGACATCCCCAAGTTTCTAAAATCAACAAGTTGTGCAACAACGCATATATCAACAGGAATATGCAAGATAATCAACTATCTACTAAGTACAACCAAATTTGGAAACCTATACAATACATGCTTTAAATCCACAACTAATATGATCTTCAGTGTGCGATTCGTTACACGCTATACATGAAAGATGTTAAACACGAAGTGTACAAATCATTACACAAGGCAACAATATATTCAATAAGAAAAACATATTCTTAT